CTCTGCCTCGCTTTTTAAATGGGCTCGTAAATTTTCAGGACAAACTGTGTGCTCGCCGTCATAAGCCCTCCGCTCGTCAGATGCTTGTTTAGTGTGAACGCTGTGAAGTTTGAAAAGATGGCTCATAACTCCCATTCGCATCCTTTTGAGTGAGATCCCCGGTGTGTTTTCTGCTTGTCCAGAAGCACCTACTGAGGTATCCCATGAAATGTTAACCGAAACCCTAAAATGCGCTTTCGGCTTGGGAATATTACTTGGGTAGGGTTGTAGTATTACTTACCGTGCAGTATAATCCAAAGATATTTCTGTCAAGTTATGGTGCTGGCTTTTGAATATGCTTCTTTCCGGCCGTTTGCAAAAAATAGGCATTGCGAAAAATGGCGACGTACGTCGTGTGCATTTTCCCTATTGATTTTCAATGCCCGTATAAATTTAAATACATTTTGTACACAATGCAAGCAAAAATAATCCCTCTTTTAATTATCTGGTAGCAAATTACGTCGCCTACAAATCTTATACCTGTTAAAACGAGTATCTTTCGGTTTAAAAGGTTTCTAATTATGAGGTTTTCTAAGACCACGAAATATTCGTACATAAAATGTCGTATATATACCTTTATTAATGTTGCTTGTAAGGCATAGAGCACGGTTCAAATACACTGCAAAATCTATGAGCTTTATATGGTATCTTACTAAAAGCGTACAGGACGTATGATTTTCCTTACAGGGAAAATATCCAGTCTATAGTTTAGGAACCCTGAATGCAAGCGCAATGGGAGATCAGGCTTCAAATTATTTGGGAAATAAAACGTTTTCTTAAAACCGAATTATACTCTTCCTTCGAGTGAAAAATTTGAAGACGATGTGATTTTTTACGAAAAGAGCAAAAGAAAAAGTACTTTTGCGCATGTTTCCTACAAAATATACTTGAATTTATAAGGGCATCGACAATCAATTGATCAGATCTTTTTATGCTACATAAGTAACCATCTTAAGAGAGTTTAATTTTTTCAGACGCCCAAAAAAAACACATCTCAACAGCCGACACCCTGGCATGACTGAAATGTCTTGGAATTTCTGCCGCGCGATCACTAACATTACAACGCTACTTAATTAATCTTTCCTAATTGAAAGCACATTTCAGAATTACGATTAAGATTTCATGGGATAGCACATCTGCCGTATTCCCATGGGTATGGCGGCAAGTTTACATTTTTGTACGCTCACACACTGTATTCCAGCACAAATGTTCTGCTTATTTTGCGCTCCACTATTCAAAACTACAACTACCGCTGGATAATCCAACCGGCAACTCGACCGTGGCAAGTGACGACATTGACACACAAGGTGGATCCAGCTGCAATGACCCAGTCCTCACTCCAGGTGAATCAGGCAGCAGAAGTGATGGCTCAGGTCTCACACAGACGATGGTCAAAGGTAGAGGGCGCCAATAAAGCCTGACCCTGCGCTCAGGGAAGGGCCGAGTTATCCTCTCAGCTGGCAGTCCTCGAAGTCACGACTCAAAGGATGTCGTGGTGGTGCTTTCGAGCGCATCAGACAGTAGGTGGGCCAACTCATGAAATTTCAATCGAAATTCCGAAATGCGTTTTCGATTCGAAAAGATTAATTAAGTAAGGTTGTAAAACTAGTCAGCCTGCAGCATAATTCTATAATATTTCAGTAACCTAAGGTTGCCGGTTTTCGAACGAAAGTCCTTCCGGCTGCATGCAAAAACTACACTCTGTAAAAAATGACTGCTTACGTATCATGAATTTATATCATTGGTTTTCGATGCCCTTAAAGGTCCAATTATATTTCATGAAAAGAATGCATAAAAATATTCATTCTTTTTCATTTTGACTCAACTGTGAAAAACTCGGCGCCTTGGTGGGATTAGAACCCACGCAGTGAGGAGAAGGCTTTAGTACAGCCAACGCTCTAACCATTTGAGCTACCGAGGCTCATTCGGTAGAGAATGACGTCCTCTTCCAATTTTATACTCGAAGGAGAGGCACAATTCGGTTTTAAATAGTTTCTAATTATGGGACTTTTAAATACCGTAAAAAGACCGTTCGTAAATCTTCATGTCTCTGCATTTACCAATGTGGCTTGTAAATTTAACAATACTGATCAAATCCATTGATACATTTTATGAACCCTATATAGTTCCCCTTTATTACCGTAGAGAAATGTGTGGTTTTCCGTACACGGAAAATATACGACATGTAGTTTCGAAAACCTGAATCCAAGTGTGACGGTAGAGCGTGTTCAGAATTATTCGGGAATTGGAGATCTTTTTAAAACCAAATTTCGTCCCTTCTTCGAGGATAAAATAAAATGAAGACGTTATTTTCTACTGAATAAATGAAAGAATGAATATTTTTATGCATTTTTTCCATGAAATATAATTGGACTTTTAGGGGCATCGAAAATCGATGAGAAAAGTTCATGCTACTGATGTAGACGTTTTTTACAGAGTATAGTTTTTGAATGCGGCCAGAAGGAAGTTCATTCGAAAACCGGCATCCTAAGGTAACTGAATTATTGTAGAATTCTAGTGCAAACTGATTAGTTTTACAACCCTTCTCAATTAATCTTTTCAAGACGAAAATACATTACGCAATTTCGGATGACATTTCTTGAGTTATCCCACCTACTGTAACTTAGGAGTATGCTGCATTTCTCCTCCATTCTATACACCAGTCGATTATTCGAGCCTGTCTCCAGCTGATAAACGCAAGCAGCCACACATGGCCGGACTCCCATTCAGAGGTTCACGCGAAGGAAAAATCAGAATGATCCAGAAGTGCCATTTCGACTTTCGCCATTTGCGCAAGCATCTTGGTCCGTGGTGCACATAAGTTGGCTTTTCAACGTATAATCTTACAGGATGTTCTGGCCTTTTAGAGGTTGAATGGTCCTTTATGTGAGGTCGGCCATTAACCTGAGATGACCCCCACTTGTGTTTATGCACTTTTTCGAGCGTTTCCAGTCTAAACGACGAGTCTGCAGAACGCAGAACAGACTGAACCCTTTTCCTGCAACTGGCCTGAGGCATCTGAACGCAGTTGTCCCTAGGCGTAGCTAGTTATTTCCACAAACTCCTGCAGGGCCCAATTAATTAACAAAGATGGCTGAGAAATACAGTAAGTAGCCGATCTCATGGAATGCGGGCCAAAATTCTGAAATGCTTTTCGATTAGGAAGAATTGCTCAGGTTGAGTTGTAAGATTGATTGTTATGTAGCATAATTCTATGATATTTCGACCCGCCAGGATGTCGACTTTTAAATGCACTCCTTTTTAATCTCTTGCAGAAACCACACTCAGTCAAAATGACTACTTAAGTAGTCTGATTTTTTCACACTGATTTTCAAAGATCTTGTAAATCCAAATATATTTTAAAGAAAACGTAAACAAAAATATACTTTCTCTTGCTTACTGGGTAGAGAATCACGTTGCCTTTACATTTTGTGTTTGAAGAAAGTGCATATCTAGGCTTTAAGAATGTTTTCTGATTCCCGAATAATTTTAAGCCTGATCAGTCGGTGCATTAGCCTTCAACGATCTCAGTCTACAAGTCGCATGCTTTCCGCGTAAGGAAAATCATATATTCCTCTATGTTGCTAAGAAGATACCATGCAGACTTCATAACATTTTTCAATGGATACGGACTATGTGGTATACTTTACGAGGGGCTGTAATAAGTGTACAGGTTCGATGTTGTATGAAGGGACGTCGCACGGTCATAAAAATCTCATAATAAGAAATTCTTTTTAAAACTGAAAGATATCCTTTTTTCGAGTATACATTGTGACGACAATGTGATTTTCTACCCAACGAGTAAAAGGAAACATATTCTTGTGTATTTTTCTATAAAGGGTATTTGAATTTGTAAAACCATCGAAAATCAATGTGAAGAACGCAGGCCACTTAAGTAGTCATTCTAACTGGATGTAGTTTCTTCAGGAGATTGAAAAGGTGTGCATCTAAAAGCCAGCATCTAGGCGAGTCCGAAATATTATGAAATGATGTCACTTTACAATCAGCACTACAATCCAACCTAAGTAATCCTCCTTAGTCGAAAACTGTTTCAGAATTTTGGCCCGCATTTCATGAGATCGACCGCTCACTGCACGTACGTCATTTTGGACTCCTATTTAGGTGATTAGTGACTTCTCAACCCCTATCCCAGCTCTACACCAGATGAGATGTCTTCAAATGTAAAACCACAACATGGACTCAAAGATGCGTCTCCTTCCTTGTAAAGACGCTACGGTTTTCGTAAAAAAAACATCATCCGTACGAAGGCGGGTGTTCTGGACAAACATTTTTAAAGGGCCATGATTTCATCGCACACGCAGTGTTCAAACTGTCACTTACAACATATCTCCGTAAGTTTTTCCAACTTACTTAACTAATTTGAAGAGACACGCATACCATTTTACCAAAAAACAATACTACGGACTGAACTGTTTCCCCATTTCACGACCCAGTTTTACGTTTTTGTTTCTTGCCGTGATTCCAAATTCAGGTTATTAACAAAGAGGATTTAAGTGTTCGGGGCACTACTTTTCAGTGTCAAACTCAAAATTTCAATGGAAACTTTATTCGAAGACCTTGGACTTCTGTGGAACGCCCACGTGATGCCCATTCGACAATGGAGTAGTAGTGCAAGTAGTATGAATTTTGAACGGCAGTTGTAGGTAGCGGTAGTTGTAGCGGTATGCTCGGCGTAGTTATAGAGACCAGATTCACCTTGTCAGTTGACTGCTTATGTTGCTTGTGAGTCAGCTTTCGGCTTGTCGACACAGTGACGTCGCTCGATACTTCCGTAATAACGCAGTATTACCACCCTCCGTGTAGTTTTCTCCCATATTCTTGCCACTTGTTTTAATTGAGTAGGCCTGATTGTTGTAGTGGACGTTTGCGTGCATTTGTCATCGGGGCGCGTGGGGTAGTTTAGAATACGTAGACTGCGCGTGGGTGCGAAGTCAGCTTCTTCATAGACTCTTTGGTGAGACGGAGGTCATAGCAGCAACAGAACGAGCGACAGTTGTAGAACATGCAGGCCAATCGACGGCGAAAGACTGGAGGTGACTTCGCAGGGCTCCATACGCCGGCGCCAGATCGATAAATTGATTGACTGAGACCCAGGCTCCAACCACTTCTCGGCCTGTCTTGTTTCCGGTGTGGACAACTGTTTTGGTGACTGCGAAGTTAAACTCGTGACCCATTTCGTAGGTGTAGGCGGCCATTTGTGATAATGCGTCGCCTCGTCGCACAGCCAGCTTATGTTGGTGTATGCGCGATCCGAGCATGAGTACAGTCTGGCCTCTGTAGTTATAAGGACAGTTTTGACACGGGATGCGATACACTACTCACGATTGCTCTTCAGGCTTTAACCGGTCTTTCATTTTCATGACCCTATTGCGCACGGTGGATTTGGGGCGATGTGCAATTTCAACATCTAATTTCGCAGCACTGCGCTAGGTCGCTTCTGAAACGACTTTGATGTATGGCAGAGAATGCCACATCGTCGGTGGTGTTGATGTTCGAGTCCTCTGAGGGCGATCGCGTAGGCAGCGACTTATGAATGCCCTCGGATAGCCATTTTGCACAAACTGGTCGCGGAGATAACGGGCCTTACGTGCTCTGTCCTCTGGTTTGCTCTTGTCCCAGCGATCGTGTCTCCTTCTTCGCGCTCTACTTTTCCCTTAAGAAAACTGAACTGAACTGGATTCCCCAATAGCTATGGGGCGGCCCGAAGATAGACATCATAATAGTCAACAACTACGATTCTCAGTTAAGGAAGAATACAGCATTGGAACAGTCTGGATTTGGGCACGGAAGTATTAAACCCTCGTAATGTAGGTGACCTTGTGCAAAATTCCAGAGGCTACCTATTACCGAATCCTAACCCTTACGGAATATCGCAAATTCTGAAGCATCGGGCCAGGAACTTCAGAAGCATCCTCAATCAACCGTCCACAATCTCCGACTCCGCTATCAGCAGACTCCTCGGATGGAAAAGAACAATGCCCTGGGCATCCCGCCTTCCATCTCAGATATAATCAAGGCTGTACTCCAGATTTCCAACAGGACAGCACCGGGATCGGACGCAATGCCGGACGAAATACAAATGGACGGCAGTCCTCGGCTGATGGATAAATTGACCTCACTCTTTCAGGAACTGTCGCGAACAGGACAATTCCAGCCCGACTTCAAATACGCAACCACCGTCCATCTCTACAAGCGCAAAGGGAACCGGCAACTCTGTGATAACCAGAGGCATCTCATCACTCAAAATCGCCGGAGAGATCCCCACTCGCGTTCACCTCAGCCGTCAACCCCGCACGTGGAGCAGGGACTTCTCCAAGAAAGCCAGCATGCTTTTCGTAGTAGCCGCAGAACCACTGACACGGCATCTGCAGCCAAGAGATGAGAAGCAATTTTAACATCCCCTTCGACGAGGCAACCACGTGGAATCTGGAAAATAATGTTGAAGTTTGGATGTCCGGAGCACTTCGCACAAATGACTTGCCAACTTCACGGTGGGATGGTGGTGTGCGTCACGGACAAGGCGGCAATCTCCGAGGCAGTGCTAGGTACTCGTTCCCGCCCTCTTCAGCCTCATGTTCTCCGCCATACTAATGGGCGCCTACCGTGATGAGCGCACTGGGATACGCATCGCGCATAGAACTGTCGGGCTGCTATTCGCGGAAATAGGGAATCTAATTAGGAAGAATATCCAAGGATTCAGGAATAGCAGCTGGGCGCAGTCGAAAGACAAACTGAACTGGCTTCAGATTAGTAATTAGAGGACCATTTCCAGCAATCCTATTTAGATATAATTCAAACCCTTCTTAAGAAGTTCCGGGTCAGCTTCATTCCTGACGGGTGACCAGATATCACATATTCAGCAGTCATTGAGCGATCGCACGTTGTCAATGTGAACCAAAAATAGATAGGAAAACAAGATTCAAATTAAAAGCACTCCACAGTTGTTTAAAACAGTAGACTTCAGTTTACAAGACTGCATAAAATGTGTACGGAAAGAACAACAAACTGTAAACCAGGAAGTTAGTGCTTTTTTGTGGAGGCACATTAGGTTCACTATAGTTCGGCTGAGAAAATAGACTAGTTACGCTTAAACATATGTAGTAAGCAACATGGTTAGATTGCGCTGCTTTTATCTTTTCAATTATATTTGTTATTACTTTTGCTAGCGGGATAAGGAAAGTGTTAGCATGCATCAGACTGGGGGAGATGTTTTTGATCAGTGAGACCAACCGGAGTAGCTCCGAGATGCTTTTATAATCAGTTATCGAAAGGCAGAGTTTCTTCCCAAAATATGTCCCCAGGGCCTCTGCCGCCATGTAGCACATGGTACTTGAGAACCACACTGAGTTGTTAGAACGACAGATAGTAGATAACCAAGGTCTACAATACTCGCTAAATCTGAATCTCATAAACTACTGCTACTCTATTCTGATGAGTAGCCTGTTTCACGTCCATACATGCAAACCCGTCATTCGCCGTCAACAGACCGGCACGCCAGCGCTCGACAGTAGCAATGTCTAACAGGTCAATGAAGTTGTATGCAGATATGACCTATTTCCGTTCATGATCCATCCAACGCAATATATTCAGAAAGAAAATCCGGGCGGGATAGTACATTAATTGTCACAGTTTTGTTCCCTTAAATCTAAAACGAAATTTAGTCCAGGGACTGGCGGCTAGAGTGCGACACATCTGCTCTCCTGAAACTGTTGAAGCAGAACTCCAGCAGCTTCAAAACACGCTCCGCGAGAACGGATATCTAGAGCGATCTATAATCCGGAATAGTAGAGAGCGTGCCACAAAACCTGCCGTCGCAACTGCGGAGAAGAAAGACTTATTTCTAAAACCGCCTATTCTAGGAGACGCAGCAAGCGAATTAGTGAGACGTCTTAGGACAGCTCTCGCGAGTGCTCTCCCCGCGGCGAACTTGCGCGTATTCTTCGAAAATTCCCGCCTACTGCGGTTGGGGGGGCAAAAACCGGCTGCCGTTACAGGCCACATCCATGTGTATTTATTCATTCACCTGCTCCTGTGGAACGGGCTATATTGGCCGTACAACCAGGCGTCTGAAAAAGAATACGCGAACACATGCCAGCCTGGCTAGGTAGAGGTGAAAATCGATCGACGTTGAGTTCGATTCTCGCACATCTGATCGATACGAGCCACCAAGCCAACGCTAAAGACGTCTTTAAAGTTATCTACCGGGCACCGGCACACTAATCTGAAGGCCTGCGCAAAAGGATGGTAGCAACAGCCGAAGCAGTGGCCATTCGACTAGCGAACTCAGCACTCTGTTGTCAGAAGACGCTGACACAAGCAGTCTGTTTGCCCTGGCCGACTCCAGACGCTGATCACACGCCGTCCCGACGCCCTGAGAGCAGTCGCACGCACTCACAGCGCTTACAATCTAACCGGAACCCTTCTCCTTTCCCCCCCCCCCCTCCCACCCCAATTCCACCGTCCTCAACACGCTGACTCCGTCATGCGGGCGGCGTGGGAACATGGAGTCCGAGTAACCCTGCCCCTGAGACGCATTTATATCCTGTCTACAATTAGGATGATCATTACCCAAGTAAATGTACCCGGCCTGATGATGAGTTACCGAAAATATATGTTTGCCGACTGACTCTTGAATGCAAATATAACTGAGCAGCTGTATTTGGGCTCAGTTAAATGTATAAGAGTGCCGTGCCCACTACTGCAGTAGGCTAGTAAGCAAAACGAAAGGAGGAACAAGTATATGCCTCGAAAATGGGTTTACTCATGTCGAGATTGAAGCCTCCAACTCAGAATTAGTGGACTTGAAACGACGCCATGATCGGATCCAGTTTCTCCTGTGAGAGTAATCGCGGGGTTGGAACTCGTAGTTCAGGTGCTTAGAGCGCTGGCTGTACTCAGGCTCTTCCCTTGCCGTCGTGAGTCCGAATCCCACCGAGGCCGTCGAGTTTTTCGCAATTGGGCCAAATGAAAATGTGAATACTTCGAAGTTCCGGGGATCCTAATGTTCGTCCTCACTAAGCGCGGTCTTTAAAGTAGAACGCCTTCTACCTTGTCTTCATTTCCAGAAAGCCCAGGAAGAAACGGTTTATCAAAAATTAGCCGAGGATGCAGTGGACGGTTAGGAATTTACCCAACCCCGAGATTGGACACAAGTTTTCTTTTCGGATTCCTCAAGCGCACTTAGTTGGTACTGGGTGATCGACAAATCAACGACGGCCCAATCTTGATGTTTTACAGCTCACAAAATGATCAAGTACCCCGTTTGGGGGTTGTAAATGCCTTAGATGTGTACAAAGTGCATACTCCGCTGGCGGCTGACAAACGCTGATGCTGATTGATCTGGCCGCTGTGACCTCTGACAACCGCAATCATCGTCAATGATCCAGAATGACACGACCCCCGGCAAGACGGGGCCTACCTGTCAGTCTAGCCACTGACTACCCAGGTGGATGGTGAGACAGCCTTCAGCGGAGGTTGATTGAGAATTAGTCAGACCCCAAGGTATGATAAGCAAACGGCCGCAGAACATACATCAATGACAGCTCTGGTATTCAAACGACGGTCATACGGCCAGTCAGACTGACTACGTACTAGTGAGCTCAAGGTTTCGCAGCTAGGCTCACGATAACAGATCGATGTATGGTGCCGAGACTGGTAACGCTCATGGGTCGGACCATGTCCTCGGTCGTGCACGCTTGAAAGTTCATCTCTCATCCGCGCCAAAAATGCCACGTCCTAGACGCCTCGATGTCGCAAAAATCCGGCAAGCCAGCACTGCCGAGGCCCTAAGCAGAGAAATCCGGACCTGTTTTACGACCCGAGCCGACGGAGATGTCAGTAATCAGTGGTCGTCATTGAAGACTTCAGTCTATGGGGCAGCTGAGAAAATCCTTGGATGCACCCAGCGACGCCTCAGTGACTAGATCAGCGGAAGAACCCTGAGAGATCTCTGCTCAGACGGATCAAGCCAGGTTCCGTAACGATGGCTGCTTCCGCCAACTTCGGAAGATGACGGCAAAATCGGCCAAGGATGACCGGAGGCAATATTGGACTGAAATAGCGACCTCCGTGGAACAGGCCTCGAACGTTGGTGACACTCGAAAGCTCAACCAACTGATCCGCCAAGTTAGCGGTAAACCCTCTACACTGAGTGACTCTGTTCGCGATGTGAACGGCGGCTTTATGGTTGACAACTTGGTCAAAGTCGACCGTTGGCGTGAGCACTTTGAGCACCATCTCAACTTCGATACCCAACCTGCCTCGCCCTTGCTCTCCTCTTCAGCGGAGTTTCTTCCATCTACTACCTATGCGGTGTCATGCGACCCCCCCCCCCTCTGAAGGAAGTCGCCGATGTCATACGAAAGTTGCGCAACAATAAGGCCCCCAGAGAGGACGGTATACACGCTGAAATCTTCAAGTCTTGTGTCGACACTCTGGCGCACTGGATCCATGAGGAGATTGAACGGGCGTGGAGAGACGAGGTTGTTCTTGATGACTGGGGCTTAGGCATCCTTGTACCTATCCTCAAGAAGGGGATAAGACGAGATGCGACAACTGCCGCGGCATAAGTCTCATCGACGTTGCTGCGAAGATCTTCGCCATTGTCCTACTTAGGCGATTCCAGGCTGTACGTGACTCAAGGACGAGGCCCAACCAAGCCGGATTTCGTGCTGGACGTGGATGCGCAGATCAGATATTCACACTGAGGCGCATTCTCGAATTTCGCCATAGCTTCCAACAACCGACGGCCGTCTGCTTCATTGACTTTGGCGCCATGTTCGATTCCGTTCAGCGTGAGTCCCTGTGGCGGATAATGGCGCTAGATGGTGTACCCGCAAAAAATCATCGTCATGATCAAGGCCTACTATCGCTCCACCACTGCGAGAGTCCTGGTCTGCAATAATTCTTCCCAAACGTTCGCTATTCGGTCTGGCGTTCGACAGGGTTGTATCCCGTCACCCATTCTGTTCAACTACGCTATTGACTGGATCCTCAGGAGGGCCCTACGCGAGAGTGACGGCGTTGAGTTTGCACCCGGACATCGACTGACTGATCTCGACTATGCTGATGATATCGCCTTACTTTCTTCAAGTTTTGGTGATCTGCAGTCTACGGTGTCACGGGTGAACGAAGTCGCTAAATCGGTCGGTTTGTCCATAAACGCTGGGAAGACCAAAGTGTTTTCAAGCTGCATCCCTGACCAGGAGAAGGCACCCCTCGGGATTGATGGTTGTCAACTTGAAGAAGTAGACAGTATTAAATACCTCGGGGCGAGGTTGCTGCCGAATGGGCAGAGTAAGAACGACATTGTCTCCCGAATTTATGCTGTATGACGGGTTTCCTCAAGCCTTTGAAATGCCTATGGATCCGACGCGACCTCTCCATCGCCACTAAGATTCGCGTGTACCGTGCGTCTGTCCAGTCTGTCCTTCACTACGGTTGTGGATGCTGGGCTTTGCGCGTGGAGGACGAGCGAAAACTGGAGGTATTTGACCACCACTGCTTGAGGACCATCCTTCGAGTAAAGTTCACCGACTTCGTCTCAAATGAGACAGTCGGCGCTCGCTGCGACAACATCGTAAGGATAACCCAGGCCATCCAAGAAAGACGACCGAGTTGGTTGGGGCTTGTTCTTCGTCGTCCACCTCAGGAGCTCAGTGCTACTGCCCTCGATCCGGCACAGTTGCCCCATTCGAGGCATCGAAGAGGGGGTCAGTTCAAAACCTGGCTCGACACAGTTCGTCAAGACATGGAGGTGGTTCTTGGACCTTCGGTATTCGGTCTACGCCGTTGGCGAAGGCAATGGGTTGAGCTGTCCAGATCTGCTGCCGCGGATCGTCACGCGTGGGGAGGTACAGTTCGTGACATCATCGAGGCCAGCTAGATCAGGCATGATCACGGTCGCATCAAGTACAAGTACAGCCCCGAGCCCGCTGTGCAGCGATCTGACAGCCCATCCACCTATGAAGAGCTTGAAGGCCGGTGCACACTACGACATGACGAGCGTCACCCGCTGTCCAGCCTAACCAGAAATCTAAAATCTCAGGCTCTGCGCGCGCGCAGGCGGTCCTGGCTATCTCCTGCTGAAAGGCGATACTCGTGCCCACTCACAACTATTTTTGACATTAATCTGCCCCCTGCCACAATTGCATTCGTAGACCCGTTTCACCACCTCGACGTCCGGCTGGATTTCAGTCGCGCACAGCTACTGGTTCCCATTAAACTGGAACTTCTCAACCCCAGCAAAACTGCAACCTGTTCGCGCTCCCAAGGCGCCCTTACCAACAGGAGTGGATGGGCCAAAAATCGGATATCCCGAAACACGGACTAAAAACGCCAGTCACCGCTCAATCCAGTTACGGGCTGGAAAAGACGGTCACCGTCGATTGTGACGAGCAGACTACTGCAATTTACGCAAGCAAAGGCTACCCTCTCCCTTTTTGGGTAAAAAGAGAAGTCCTTTTGCCAGATTCATCCTACAGTTTGATCGCTTTGAGTAACGAAGAGGTCAGAAATTTATGCCAAACCCCTTTCAGGTGAATAGCACATGCGGACGCACGGTCAGCCACTTCCTATAAAACCAGCTGCTAGGGGCAAACCAATTTAGATTTTCCGAATTAGAATTACGTAACTTGGCAGTACCCAACGAGGGGAATTTGAGCTAAAAAAAAACCAGACCAATTGTTAACTGGAAAAAATGTATGTTCTGGGGTAAAGAAGACTGAGTAATGAGAAGAAAAAAAGGCAGCGCAAATATGTACACAGGAGCCCGAAGGGGAAGGGGAAGCTACATAAAATCGGCCATTGGGTCGTTTGGGTTTCGGCGAGTACGATAGTAGGCCTCCATCTCCTCCTCCGTGGGCATCTTCACCTCGCCCAGGGAATTGTAGGGTCGGTCACGCTCGTCCATCTTCATCAGACGGTCTACCTCAGCCTGACGCTTCTTCTCCTTTTCCATGGCCTCAAGAATTCTGCGTTCACGGGCCTTCTCCGAGTCTTCTGTCTCAGACTCGGATTCGCTGCTACTACTGCTGCTGGAGCTGGAGCTGGATGAAGAGGATGAGGAAGAGGACCGCCTTCGTTTGGATCTCTTGCCCTTGGTCTTCTTCTGTGACTTCTTCTTTTCCTTGTTCTTCCTCCTTTTCTTGGCCCTTCGAGCTCTAAGGACCTCACGGCGCGCGTCGGAACGCTGCTTATCGGCTTCGCGTTCCTTTTGCAGACGTTCCACATCCCTGCGCGCTTCCTCCTCCTCCTGGCTTGCAGTATCGTCTGCTTCTGCCTTCTTGTCCACTCCCTCTTCTCCCCTCTCTTCCTCCGCTGTCTCCTCAAGCTGAACATCCCTCTCAGAGTGCGCTTCCCTCTCGGGGGAAGGCTTATCTGTCGCGCTCTCAGAACTGTGCCGAGACTTGCCCTTCTTGCTCTTCTTCATCCTTTTGCTCTTAGAGGTGGATTCCTGCTGGTGCTGCTCGTCCTCTTCGCCGCTAGAGGAGTCCGGGTGTGGCAGGCGTACTGGCGCGAGCAGACTGGTACCTGAAGCGCCAGCCGGTACTTCAGGCAGAGCCATGGGCGGAACAGATGACGATGTGGACGTCGACTTGCCCTTCGCGCCAGTGCAGTAGGACTCCTTAATGAGGGACTGGCAGCACTTGTAGCCCCACTGACCAGCGTACCAATAGGAGCCCCACACAGACTGAAAAGACAGGGAAAAAAAATCCAGTATGTTGTCTAACGAGGAATTTCAACACTCTTCTAGTTATGAATACTTAAGGAACGGGGTGAAGGGAATCACTTCCCAGGCACAGCCATGTGTGACCCAGAGCTAACAGAATTATGACTCGAGCTGCGATTCTGATTAATAGTCCGGGGGTTATGAGACTAACTACCATGCAATCGACCGAAACTCTGATAGTATATTATAGAAGTTCAAGACATCACATGTATTCATTAGTTCTGCTGCTGTAGGGGACCAGAAAGGCGCGGGCTGCCTGGCGGCTACGGGACACGTCAATGGTAGGGGGCGCTCACCGGACGTTCTTACGGAACTCACTCGTTCCGTTGTGCCCTACGGGCTCTCTCTCGAGCCCAACCAGCAGCCGCACAGCGGCGCATGACATAGGCAGACCGATCGAAAACCGACAGGGCAACGGGCTCGTGGCTCAGTGGTTAGAGGCGTGGACTTCTAACAAAGAGGTCGCGAGTTCGAGCCTCGGGTGTGCCACACTTCGGGGTTGGGTATGACTGGCTGACGACAGCTAATAGGCCAGAAATGGCCATTCCAGTCTCCCTTGTCTTCGTCGGTAACGCCATTCTGGATGCAAAACAGTTGAACGCCCTCTGGCGATAGTTATCTGTGAAGCAAGCTCCTGAGTCTGAATAAAAACTACTATTTGGCCAGTGGAGTACGATCGGGGAAATCAACTGCCTTATAAAATGCCAGAAACTCCAATGGTTGCCCTGTGGCACGCGGAAAAAGAGCCATCAGTAAGACCCATTCGCCATAGCTGCGTTGCGGGCCGAGATGAGACATGCTCGCCCCATAACCTCGGTATCTGTTTTTCCAATACTTGCTGCTATTTCTTAGAAGCCATTGGATTTGATATGCACTGAGATCCTAGACCTCTTTGACCAAGATGGGGGCAGCACCACGAATTTCCGTTTTGCTACAGTATTCGCGGAGATCAGCGCGTCCGAACTCCCATTGTTGAGTAGGATGGTTGAAAGTATAGGAACTACAAACTTTGAGCGGAAATATATTACCGACAGACCACAGCGCACGGTAGGTATTTATGATTTGGTTGAACTGTAATATGCAATAGCCGAAGTCAGGTGCAATGGAGGATGGCCTAAATGATGACTGTTTCACGTCGCCGATGTCTCCATGTCAACGTGATGACGCAGTACTCCACTGACAAAAGACTTGGAAGAATCCCAGCAAGCCTTTACTCCTATTGTAATTCAAGCAATGACTGGTACGCGTTTGAGGCGGTTCTCAACCGCCTTATTGACACAACCCACTTGGTAACGGTGGCATAACCTCAGCGAACGCCCTTGACCGCCTAAAACTCGCGGCATTAACGCACACGACATCTTGCAATCGCCAACGAAATAAAAGCTCACATATGACCCACTTTCTTAATACCATCACAACCAAGGCCACTTGCTCAGCGCGCAAAACTCTGGCTAATAAAGAGCAGACAACGCAAAAGTTTTGCAAAACCACCTAAAAGTGGGACCGAAACCTAAGTTAATAGTCCATATGAGGAGACGTCAAATGAGGATCAAAGCTTACCGTATGATTGTTGATGTAGACGTCCTCTTCGTATCTGGAAGTAACAGAGGGTTTCTCAAGACCCTTGAGTACACGGCCGGTGGGCGTGTACTCCGCGTAAGTTTCCCACTGGCCCAAAAGCAGGTCCCGGGGCGGGGCCTCGAAGTGCTCGCGACCTCCATAGCGGTCAAGGATCTCCTCGCGGATATGCGACTGGACCTGATTTTTGGCTGAGGACACTTGCATGGCAAGCATCTCCAGTCTAGTAGGATCTGCCTGCAGATGCAGGTCCAAGCCCAATTTGTTGTGCATTTCCCAGGCAAAAACCTGACGATTGAGCATGGCCAGCGCCTCATCATTGTCGCGGATGAAATTGTCCCCAGCAAAGGGTACCTCGGATTCTGGTTTGCCGGAATTTTCGAAGGGGTTCTCGCGCATAGCACGCGTTTTTGGATCATAGTAGGCACTGTTGGGGTCGAGATTGAACAGATACTTCGCTGTGTCTTCACGAATTCGCAAATTTCTGATGGATTGACGCTGTTTACTGTCGAACTTCTGGCCGGGCATATCCAGCTCGTCACCATAACGATCGTCGTCGTCTTCAAGGTCGCCGTCATCTTCGAGGACGGGGGCGGCGGCGGATGCCGCGGGTTCTTCCTATCGAGGAAAAAGCATAGAGTGAAAGTGACGTTAATCGAAGTCAAGACTTTATTAATATACTGCTAAGCTTGTAAATCGAACTGCAACAGGCAGGCTAATTAGGTCACGGGGATTCCAGGTTTCTAATAAAAAAACATGGCTATTAACTGACTAAATTGGACGTCTGACGGGAAGAAAAGAGACGCGGCGAACTCTGAGTGGGTCAACGAACAGACAGCGAGGACAAAGAGTGCGGGTTTCCGCGTCGGTGGTCGATAAAAAACTAACGTCTTCAGGTTACCATACCAGGCAGTCAGTGAGCTAACACCCAACGACGGCAACAGGATCCAACACAGTGTGTCCAGAACCGCAGATCTTTATGAGCATCATCATTGATGAGATAAAGGCTGTTCTCTAATGCTAAGTGCCAACGAAGGAGGCTGAAACGGAGACGCATGCAACAGCGACGACTGCTACGACATAGAGTGGAAGTGATAAACTAGCCTTTCTTTCATAAACACCCGCAAGGCCCAGTGGCAGCCAATAATACCCACTGACGACCAAGTGTTGCTTACTAACCTAGGTCCGAATTCCCAGATAACATGTACGACTGTCTGTTAGTGTTAAGCGAACAGTGTGACATCGCAAGACCATTCGGAGGAGTACTCGGAGTCACGCAATAAGACACGATCGTCTGTCTAAGGCTTGCAAATAACAAAAAAACTACAGGGGAATTCTGAGTGTGCTTTCGCGCGCCAGTAATTGCTACAGAGTGTTCATCATCCTGAATACAAAAGCCAAGAGAGCGATGGTCGTCCTGACAAAGATGCTTGAGGAAAATACGACGATGGAGCAGAAACCATAGGGTGCGCATTTGTATAATGCCCTTGTTTCCATCGCATCCCGAACTGGAACGCGCGCGAGGTAACCAGTGGACCCTGAAGGACGCTAATAATCCGGTTGTGCATGGTATTGCCCAACCGCTTAACGTTTTGCAGTCAGTAGCGCCTGTAACCCCTTGCTTGTACAAGAAAGTGGAACTTAGGCTGGCAGGTCGTCATAAGATAGTGGGACTCGCCAGTAATCTCCTTAGCTACTGCTACAGCCAGTCTCTAAGTCAACAAAACCCCTCCTAACAATGGGCAGACCATGCTGGCTCACCTACTGGTGCGGCGCCTGAGACTCCAACGTGGGCTATAATGATCGAAGCGCCCACTGCAGCAGTTGTAAAACCTGGGTCCATGCCCGCTGCTTCTTTCTATCAACTGCACGGGCAGGTGTCTATCACAATCCCATAGCCGGACCTACCTTACCTGTGTGGCGTATACCTTGACTACTCTCGACGCCGATATGGGTTATTGCACAGCAACGACTACACCTGCTGTGCAAGCTCAATTACAAGGATGTAGATCTACGATGGCTGCAAAGTCGTTTCCCATCTATCCTGACGCACGGTAAATAGTCTTCGGAGGCTGAGCCTGTCTGGAAATTAGGTATCGACTACGATTTCCGAGTGTTTTGTAGAATTTTAATCCGTCTTCGCAAAGTTGTCATTTAACTAGCCTATGCATGTGATAGTACTATACTATGTCGCAGTGGTACACGCCTTCAAGCTCCAATTGTGCATAAAAACGCCGCTGTCTTTTCATAGGGAGATGACAGCGCAGATGTTTTCTGAAGGCGAACGTAACCCGTGCGATCATGGCATGACTTAATGCATGAATTCTTCCTCCCCTTCCCCTCCAAAAAACTGCCCTACCAGTCCCAGTCCTTGTTTTACACCGGTAAGCCTGCTGCCCTTCGTGTGAGTAACACTCTTTACATAATTTTAAGAACGACTTTGATTTATGGTGCTGCATCTGACGAAGGATATCCATGACAATAAAACGAACAAGAAACCAAGGCAGCATTTGTGGGCGACAGACAACAGTAGGCAATTTTCTTTCTTCAGCATTGACCACACGTTGGAGAAGAAACAAAATAAAGATTTGTGGGGAGTATCGAGACCAACACTCCGAGGTCGGTCCTTTGGCATTGTAAAAAAAGAAAGCTTGACATAACAAACGATGTAGCAGCCTCCAAGATTTAGTTGATATTTTGCTCGACACCGGGCGAACCAAAGAATATCCATCCTGCTGCAGACAAGACCGTCCCCGCAGGCAATTCTTTTCCGACGCAAAGATAAACTATGCTAAAACTAAATCTCCATGCGAAAAAGGAGTAGGCGCATTTCACACCTATTCTGAATTCCGCTAGCTAGTAGTTTAAACTGACGACCATAAGTGAAGCGTCGAAGTGGTGTGGGGCATCTGTATCTAGTGTATAAACTAGGAAAATCCTCTAAAAAGGTGCTCCTCAGGACCTGGAGAACTACAGTTTCTATAAAGAAAGTGCAACACTAAGGTGAGATTGAAACCCTTTAAAATAGGAAATGAATGGCTCACTATGACAGGTTAAAAAAATAAATGAAAACTGTAATGCTGCGAAAATCGGAGCTTACTTGGCCTTTCGATTGAGTGCCGGCAGCAGCTAGCTTCTCCTCCAGCTTTTTGGCCTTAACCAATTTTCGCGCCTCCTCTAGCCTTTGGGATTCTAAAATAAGACGCTGATGTTCCCTTGGATCGTATCCGTTCCACCGGTCACGCTTGGCATCGTATGACAACTGGAGTTCTTCCTGTAGATATTCGTCTGGTGCGATATCAAGACCAGTGTACTTCGCGCCAACTTTCCTGGGTCTTTCTAAGCAATCGCGTCTTTTGTGTGTCATCGACCCACAATTTTCGCATGCCCCATCCCGATACTTCTTCGCACGTGGAGCATCGGGTGGCAGGCCCTTTTTATACCACTTGTCAAGGGCCGAAGAACCCTTCATCGTCCCAGATGCCTCAACCCTTTTTTGCTCATCTTGCATCCGTTGATGTCTCAAAGTCGGCTGAAGTGCTCCATAGTACCAGGGCGCTTGCATAATGTACTGAGGGATATGAGGGTTTATGTCTCGACCCTCCTCATCTTTCATTGCAGGCATAACGGCTAGTTTACGTGCCTCCTCAATCTCCTTCATTTTCTTAAAGTCTTCTTTCGTTTTCTTTTTGCCATCTGACTCTTCTTCAACCTTCCGGAGAATGGATGGTGGGAAATTCGGGACGAAAGTCATCTCGGAGAGATAAACTCAAAAGAACCTCGCACAACCTGCAGAGTAAAACAAATTTGCCCATGTTTAATAGCTCGATCGTCATTGTTCGAAGTGATACTTAGGACCTTTCGAAACATTTTACCCCATATATCTCATTTATGACAGTCCCATCATACAGTGATCCATGGTTTTCTTACACGATGCAAATGAAGACGTCCCACTTATCGAATTCTGCAGGAGAAAGATGATGCATGTATTCATTGTCGATGGTGGGAATCTTTGTTATAAACTGAAGATATCCAAGCATCTATCTAATGCTACCATGTAGGTAAATTTAACTTACGTTTAGGCATTTTAATCATTTTGATTGCGGTCGCCCTCGACTTACGCGGACCCTTCTATTCAGATACCAATTAGTCCGGCAGATCAGTCTCCGCGGACGGAAACGTAGTTTACGTAGTTGGATGAGGTCTTATTCGAAGCTAGCTATAAGCAACAAGAGATAATCACATTTTAGATCTAATCTTTACCAATGACATTGCTCCTCTTTCTGTTGCTTTGTTTTCGGCAAGGTCAAGGCGCGCAGCTCAATTTCAAAGATAAGTAAAAAATCCATTGTAGTGAATCCTTTCCCTACTAACGCTTTCTAGTTTTAGTAGTTAAAAAACAGTAATACTTGCTACTCAGTGCGCGTTTCCGTACGTTGGCAACGTTTTGATCCTTCTTCTGTAACGAAAAACTTTTTTTGTCTGTAATGCCCCGCAGAGCACGTGCTAAAAGGCGAAAGCTTGCGGCCTCCCCACCGTCTCTGGGTGCTAAAATCGTGACTGAAGACATGGCAGACGCCAGCGTATGTTCTTCGCCGTCTGCAGATCTGATTAACTCACAAATCCCTTTAGTACATGTAGAGCCTCTCGACCCTTCAGTCGTCCAAAAATACGCCTCTGCTAGTCGTAACAGGCCATCAGCCGGCGAAATAATCGATCAGCTGATTTATGGAGACATAAACAGCACTTCTGAAAAAGTGCTTGAATAAGCTTTTAAACTTATTGGGGTAATAAGTTCGGAAACTGAGGAACGAATTAAACGCAAGCATAATTTCGTACTGCGAAACATTCCGAGCCACTTATCTGCTATGGAGGGAGCGCATTTGTTCCTACAAAGTTGTGGCTTGAGTTTTAGTGTCGCACAAGCTAAGCGACTTCGCTCGCTTAGTCGTAATGCGCCGGTACTAGTTACCCTTTTCTCCATGGTAGAAGTCGATTTTATCTAATCGAGTAGGGAGATAACTAGAGACTTCTGCCGTAAATGGCGCTGCTCCGTTTCGCCAGACCTCACACCCCTGCAGCGAAGACTGAATAAACTGAAATCGGCAAAAACCAACACCAAGATAATGACACCTACTGTCGGTCTGAATATGTCCTCTACAACACCACCTGCGGCATCTGCAAGTCACGGCATAGTCAATTCCGTAGGGAGTTCGACTACTTTTAATGCTGACCTTTTTAAACACACCACCACGCCTGGTATTAACACGCCTCTATCGAATCCCTCAGCAACCCCTAGTAAGCCTAAGCATGTGTCTAAGTCAAAGGCAAATCCAATTGTTGTCTCAGCCACTCGGACACCCAATAAATCCAGCACCATTATAAAATCTTTTCCTCCACAATCGGCTAACAGTGCCTCAAGTACCCCGACTCAAAACGTAGCGGGTTCGCAACTGCCCCTCAGCCCTCATATCAAGGCAGTTAGGCCGAATATGCCGATCTCCCACCGTTTAATATACCTGTTGTTCCAATGGAAACAATGCGTCCCCCACCCCCTAACTTGTTTCCTCCATGGCCGTTTTACCAAATTATTCCTCATGAGAATGTCCATACTGAATCAGTTAATTCATCCGATCCTCAGTTTCGTCCCGGCGGGAATACGTTGCAGTATCTGCCCCGCGGATTTCCAGCTGAAAATAAGTTAGCTAACAATAGTTACCAGTTTACCTGCCCGTCATTCCCTCCCCCAAGTCCTCCCTTTTTTATCCACGTCATAATTTTTTGATGCCACAAAATTTTTTGCAGAACGGGATGGTTGCATCCGGACCGTTTGCTCCGTGGGCGACCCAGAACTGGACGATGTAGCCCACCTCCCTCAAAAACTAACAACCTTTCCCTTCAAATTTTTTGTTTTAAATGTCAGGTCCTTGCTTAATAAGATGCCTTTGCTTCAGACTCAGGTGTTCGTTCATTGTCCTGATATTGTTTTAGTAACTGAGACGTGGGCATCAGCCTCAGTAGCTGACTCCGAACTCTCTCTTCTAGGCTACAATTGCGTTCGAAATGATCGCCAAGATAGCCGTGGTGAGGGCAGCTGCGTCTACGTTAAGCAAACACTTACATGTTTGTCGTTGGACCTCCCGCACTTTTCAGCAGTAGAAGGCAGCTGTTGGCTCCAGGTTGCACTAAAAAATAAGTTCTCCTTACTCATTGGCTGCGTCTATCGCCCTCCCAACGCCAATGACAATTTTGATCGCTTACTCTCACAGGCATTTCATGCCGCGGCCGACTTAAATTTTAAGTATCAACTGGTTGCGGGTGACTTTAATCTCCCTGGAGTCCGCTGGTCTCTGCCTTCAGGCCCCAGAAGGTTCGATGACTTTCTTGAGGCTGTGTATGTCGGGATGCGGACTCAGGTTGTCGATTTTCCCACCCGAGGCTCAAGTATACTTGACTTAATTTTCTGTAGAGGCTGCTTGCCATCGTCAGTGTCATCCCTAGGCCCACTCGGGGGCTCAGACCATGATATAGTTGTTTCAACGTTGGAATTCGAGGCTGACGAAATGTCGTCCCAAAAGTATAGCTTTTTCCGCGATTTCCGATCAACTCGCTCAACCGAATTGTTAACACACCTTAATTCCTACGACTGGACTGAGTTCTTCCTTAGTTTGGATGTAAATGTTTGCACTGCAAAACTGTACGAAATTTTGGATGCGCCTATTTCTCGTTTTGTCCCCCGTAAGAAAATTATTAATGTTGGGGATGAGGTTTTTCTACCCTTACCCTTTCGTCGCAGATTGCGCAGGCTTTATCGTCGTTTCCATCTTCAGAACGATGTTTTTGTTCTGCCCTTGATTTGTGATATTTTTGATCGAGCTAAGAGATTGTCTGAAGAAAAACAGCTAGCCGAAGAGGTCCAGTTTACCGAAAACCTTTCGTTAAGTGTCTCGAAACTTTTCTCTAGAAAAATACGAACTCAGAGAAAGACGCAGTATCCCATCCTTCGAGACGATCTCGGAAATCCCATAGTTGATGCCCAGTTAACCGCAGATAGCTTCAATGATTTCCTGTCAAAAACGTTTATTGAAGACTCGACCACTCCGCTTTCGACCATCCAGTCACTGACCGGGGCAGTTCTAGAAGCTATAACTTTCACTCTGTGGGATGTGACTGTTGCGATTCGGTGTTTTCGTCAATCTTATAGTCCAGGCCCTGATGGTGTCCCAGTAAGCATTTTAAAAGCCGATGCAAACACGATCTTCCCATCTCTCTTATGCAAGATATTTAATCTTGCTCTTGAAAGTGAAACTTATCCTACCTTGTGGAAGGAATCACACATCTTGCCCATTCCTAAGCACGGCAAATCTACATCATTTGATGACTTTCGGCCAATAAACACCCTCCCCACTGCTTCAAAGATCCTAGAGACATTGATCAAGGATAAGATGATGTGTCACTTAACAGCGAACAACTTACTGAGTGTTGCTCAGCATGGATTCCTCAAAGCTCGATCTTGTGACACCTGTCAACTCTCTTTCTTTGACTATGTTCTCCAATCTAGGGACGATGGTTTTGCTCTTTACACAGTATATTTCGATTTCACTAAGGCTTTTGATCGTGTTGACCATGCTCTTCTTCTCTTGAAATTGTCCTCTTTCGGAACAGGTGGCAAACTTTTGAATTTTATATCCTCTTATTTGGGCACTCGCACCCAACGAGTTAAGATTTCCAATACCATCTCCAACCCCACACGTGTGAGGAGTGGAGTCATTCAGGGTAGTGTAATCAGCCCGCTTTTATTTTGCCTTTTCGTTAATGATGTACCCGATTTATTTCAGAATGGTAAGCCTTTCATGTATGCCGATGATCTTAAAGTTGCATATCGATATAAGCCGGCAGATCATGACATCGTGCTTGAGCTCCTAAAGAGCGATGTACAGGCTTTCGCCCAGTGGTGCCGCACATGGCGCCTTTCTCTTTCTTGGCATAAGTGCTCAGTCATGGTGGTTGGCGGCGACCGCCAACCTCAACTAAGTATTGAAGGTCACGCAATAAATGTGCCAGGGGTTATAAAGGATTTGGGCGTATCATACTCCAAGAGTCTCAATCTCTCGGAGCACTGTGCCTTGATAGTCTCCAAAGCACGCAGAACGACCGGGTTTATCCTCCGAAATTTTAAAACTAGGGACATTAGAATGCGCCTTTTCAACATGTACGTTAGACCTGGTCTGGAATACTGTTCGTTTTCATTTAGCCTCATGCGTGCTACTGAGCGGAAGAAAATAGAATCCGTTCAACACTTTTTACCAAGAGAATTTTAACCCCGGAACACCGACATTTGTCTTACCAAGAACGTTGCCGGCTTACAGGCCTCGATCCTTTATGGTTCCGTAGACTACAAAAGGGACTATTTTTGCTATTCAAACTCTTATATAATCACACATTTAACCCACTCACCTCTTTAAGACATCATATCCACCCACGACGTAACAGTCACCGTGAGGTCTTTTTATTTCTGCCTCTGACAAGTACTGTTAAATATCGTCGGTTCTTTTCTGTAAATGTAATTGCTATTTGGAATAAACTACCCATGAGTGTGAAAACTCTGCAAAATTATCCTTTATTTAAGAGAACTATTACTCGATTTTTGCATTCAGAAAAGCTCCCACAAATTTTGGGTGCTGAATCTACTGATCGACTGTACCGTAGCGATGGCGTTTGTGGTCTCTGAACACTATGGCCGGTCTCACCAGC